TACATTTACATGTCACCGTTCTCTTTTCGCTGTCGAAATATAAATTAAAACACAATCTGTGACAATCTGAAAGTGCAAATGAAGTTGGAATTTGTATTTCATTGTCAATAGAATAAACCTTCTCTGCAATAGATAACATTTAACTCCACTAAGTGCCCTGTCTTTTGCATTAACACTTACAAGTTAGCCTCGTCTGTTAGAGTCACATTTGAAATGAAAATGCAGTTTTTTCTAACAACTTGTAAAGGCTTATCAAATGCACTTTTTAAAAAAATTATTTACAAAATATTCAAATGCAATAAGCCTCGAGTCTTTTGAATGTTCTAACAGCTGGAAAACAAGAATTAAATAAATACTGTCATCTGTCCCGCAGGTTAACTCTTTATATAAAAAAGGCAAGTCATATTTTTATTCTTATTTTAAAACTGTTACAAAACTGCATTTTCAATTTGACAACAGTTGACTTTAGTGGCATGTAAATGTAAATGCAAAAGACTGGTTCCACGGTAGACAGAATGCCCATTCAGTTAGCTGAACATGTGGATGCAAATTGATTTGTAGCTTATTCAGTGTCGTTTTATTAGAATAACATGTGCACATACACTGTTACCCATAAAGTTAGAAGAAAGTATGTTTTCTTTACCTCTTCTCATGAAATGATTGTGACAATGTGATTTATTCTTGATAGATAAAGTGTATATCTTCTTAAAAGTTTATTGATATCGCACAGTAAAACCAAAACAAAAATAAACTTTGCAAAACGGGGAATCAAGCCTAAAACAAAATGGAGGTATTGAACAATAACATGAAGGGTTTTGTTTACATTGTTCAACCTTGGTCATATAACTGGAAACACTTCTTATTTGAGGGGATTTCATGCATTAGAATGTCCAGTATCACTCTTTCAAATGTCAGTCAGTCACTAGTATTGAGTCTGGCCACCCCTGACATGGATCAATGCATTAAGACATCGTGGCATACTGTCCACAAGCTTGTTGATGGTGTCAATGGGCAGGACGTCCCGCTATTCAGTCAGATCCAGAAGTCAGAATTGGTTTCACCTGATAACTGGGACTCAGTATGTGATCATTGCACCTGGTCAGAAGGAATTACTGAAGTGTATAAATAGAAATAAATAAGAGGAATGTGTCTGAAATCAAGAAATATTCCAACTCTATGGGCAGCAATGTAATGCTATAGTGGAATTACATTTTAAGTTTCAAATTTAGGTGATCATTTAAATAAAATCTGTTATAAGCTTCAATACGAACAAAAGTAAAGACTTCAAAAAATGATGAACCGATAAAAGGATAAGTTGTGATTATGGTGGCAATGAGAGCATAAAGAAAAAACACAAAAAGCATCTGCAAAAATATAAAAATAAACATCCACATAGTAAAATCCTGCAGATTTGAAGATGTTTTCTTTTTTTTTTTTTCTGATGCAACTGATGACTTGAGTAACATCATGAGTCACAAACCATGACAATAACAAATCAGTTCCAGCCGCTGCTCTTTGCTGGATGCCACTGCACTCACACTGTCCTATGTTCTTATATCTGTGTATGGCTTGTTATCTACTTTTCCCCCAACAATGTCACTGTACTTTGTACAGTTTAATGCTTCAAAGCAGCTGACAGTAAAGTTATCTTTCTTGAGAACTTGTACACAACATAAATGTGATGCAGCATTGCAGTGCACAGGCTGCATTGGTGATATCGTGATGACAAACTACAGAGTATGAAGGGACCACATTCTTTGAAGATGTCTTTACAAAACTTTTCTACATGAGTAAAGGTTTGTTCCTGGTCTAGTGAATTCCTTAAACTCCTGATATGCTGCCTCCACTGCTGATCCATGTGACGGTGTACGTAGCTGGTGTGCAGAGGGACACTGTTGCTGATTCCTTATTCAAAGCTGATTTTGTAAAAAAAAAAAAAAAATCATCCAACGTAGATGCCAACGTAGTTTGGCATTTTGCCATCCGTTTGGTTGCCTTTTGTATTTTTCACTTTACTTTTATCAGATGAATTAATAGCTATCTCTACAACAAAGAAGAAGCTGCAGCAGGTAATGGATGGTAATAACTTTAAAAAAAAAAAAAAAAAACAAAGAAAGAAAATTACAGATTAAGTGATAAAAATAAGATTGCAAAAATTTGGATGCAAAAAAGAAAACTGCAAATATGTGTTTGGATGTAATTATAGTGAGCTGGAGAGTTCACATTATTTCAAATATTGGGGTATTATATGTAATTATACTCATGGATCATTTCATATTGCTATTAAATGTTTGCTCTACTAAGAAAATGTAGAAGAGTTGATTTGCAAATAAACATCAGAGTAGAATCAACGGACTGGTTACGTGTGTTTTGTCGTTCATATTTCAGGTGTGGGGGTGTTAAAAATACATCATTCAAACTTAAATACATACTAAGAGGTTTTTACTGTGTGAAAGGTGTGACTGGAAACCAGTTTATACCAGTTTATGGGTTAGTTGATACACTGAGTTTTAAGAGTTGTAATTTTGTGACCTTCATGTTGAATCTAAAAGGAAGATAGAAGCAGCTGACTTCAGGGAAGCTAACTAGAATTTCACAAGAGGAGGACAAAGGTATGAAAAGGAAACTAGAATGTGTAATTCATACAATGAAAACCTGCTGAGGATGTATTTTTGTATTATACATGTATTTATCTAAATGTATACATATGGAAGTCATGCAAAACTGAGACAAGTGTTTGCCTCTATGTTAGGCATCCATCTGTGTCTAGTTTTGTTTTGTCTGAATCAACTTAAACTTAAAATTTTTTTTTGAAAAATGTGAAAGAAGAATTGTATATTTGTACTGTCATGACTTCAATAAATAAAACGAAAAAGTAGAGTACTTGTGTAATTAATTAATAAATAATGTCCATCTATGCTCTTAAACACACACCAACAGTGCTGCTTTGTATCTACCTGTGTCGCTGTGTGCCTAAGCTGTAGTAACCTAAAGCTGGTCCCACTGTTTATCTGCCATAGTTCACAACTGTAAGACTCTGCTGCTACTTTCTGGCTAAAGTTCATACTTAACACTTCCACTCTCTTTCAGTCTTCAGGCATTTATATGTCACTTCTGCAATCTAATGTTCTTTATATCAGTGTAAAATCAGTGAATCAAAGAACACTTGTTTCTCTGATCACCATGCCAGAATCCTCTTTAACTGTATAAATCGACTGGTCCCCTGCTAAACCAGCCAAATGAATCTCCCCAGAGAGAGATGCAAGGATTTTTTTAACCTACTTAGAAGANTGGTTAATATTGTTTTTATTTTATTTTATTTTTCTTCTGAGAAGTGATGTGAAGCTTGTGTCTTTCTCTTCACTTTTGTTTCTATCTTTGGCAACTAAATACTTAGTGACAGTGAAGTGTGTGGCATACAGTGTGCTGTTCTCTCGTAATAATTTGTTATGTCTGTTGATTTTTCTAGTATTGCATCAAGTCTTTCTTCCAGGTCTTGCAAAAAATTGGAGAAGAAATTCAGTTTCTTTCTCAAATAGATACTTGATGAATAAAAAACATTAGAACTGTGTAAATGCAATGCACTGTTGTTTCAGATTGCACCACTAGGTGGCGTCAAAGTAAAATAAATTAAGTCTTACTGCATAAACAATCAATCAAGTACACGCAGAAGAATACGGCTGTGTGTGTGTGTGTGTGTGTGTGTGAGCTGCACCTCTGTGTTGACTGATTGTGGACCTCAGCAGCCTCGCTCATGGCTCTGATCCACTCCTCCTGTTCCTCATGGCTGTCAGCACTGAAGTAGTACGTCCTGGTCCCAGCATGCTCCGCCTGCATACAAAACGCCACAGAACCCTTCAGCTCCCTGTCCTCACACTCCTCCTCCTCTTCTTCCAACCACACCTGCAAAGTGAGAAAAAAAAAAACGACAATGAGAGGCAGCACATAACTCCCTCATTAGTCGGGCAGTTCATATAATATTCAGCATCTCCATCATTTTCAGCAGCAGTAGCTTTATCTCCTCATGCAGTTAAGTAGCAGGCTATTAAAGACATCCATCATTTCAGTTGTTATAGCTGATTACAACTTGGACTTTATCTTTGAACCTTTTCAGCCATATTTCCTCTCACGTGAAGTCATTACTGAGTTGTGGGAGCTTGATAATGCATGCTGGTGCTCAAGAAACACAAGCAGTCAGATAAAAGAGGGGCTGAAGGCAAACATAAGAGATGAGGACGATTTATTATTTCTATGATTATTAGACTATATGAATAAAATTGGCTCGATTGTAATCATTCGTTATAAGCATACAGCTGCCTTCCTTTCTTACTTCTAAATGTCTGCCGTGTCACTCACTGTTTGTAGTGATGGCATCGTGTTTCCTGTGTCACGCTGTTGTAACTGATAGTGGACATTACTATGATGATTCATTATTTAATTAATGTACAATCCTTTGACTGACTGTGTTGAAGGTCCTCTTACACTTCCAAAGAGACACACATTACAAAATCCCCAAATGTCCTCAATTTAACAACAACACATTGTAAGGTTTATGTGGATGGTATTAAGACACAGTAACAACACTGCAGTGTACAGACTTGCACAACCGCGTTGACATGCAGCCAATAGCTGAACAACCCAAACAGTACAAGACTGGAACGATGAATGAATCCTGTGACATGCAGACATGCAGTATTACACATAACAGACACGATCGTGCATCCTTTGCAGACAAGACGGCCGTAACGACGTAGGAGACAAAATATGAACACTGTACCTACTGTGCTTTCAACCACATAGCCAAGGCCAGCAGACCTCTCAGGGGGTGGATGAAGGTGGTGGGGAGAGGAGACAGTAAGGAGGGAAGGTGAAGGATACGAGTGTCAAAGGTCACTGCTGGTCAGCATGATACTAGGGCTTATAGTGGCTTGAATTCTTTTCTTTCTTTTCTTAATAATATTCCCCCCACTTAAATGTTTAAGACCATCAAACAAACAAAGATAACCAAAGTAAACACAAAATGCAGTTTTTAAATGATGAGTAAATGTTTTCTGAGAGAACAGCTATCCAAACCTACCAGTAACAGTAATTGCCCTCCTTGTTAAATCATAAATTAACTGTGGCTAGTCACATTTTTTGGAAAGCTCATTTCACTGACCACACCAAAGCCTGATGACCTCCAGACCTGTTCGATCAAGAAATCACTTCAATAGAACCTATCTGACAAAATGAAGTCGACCAAAACATCTCAAAAAGCTGCAACAAAATGCTGCGATCTAAAGAAATTCAAGAACAGATGAGACATAAATAAATTGACATCTGTCTGGAAAAGTGTACAAAGCCATTTCTAAAGCTTCAGGACTCCAGTGAACCACGGTGAGAGACATTATCCACAAATGGAGAAAACACGGAACAGTGGGGAACCTCACCAGGGTTCTCCACCAAAATTATCCCAAGAGCACAGCGACGACTCATCCAGGAACCCCTGAACTTGCTCTATAATCGCTGTATAATTCAGATTCAATATAACAAATATAATAATTCTCCAATATTTGGGATTTCTCCGTCATGTTAGTTGATCTTGTGTCAGGAGGTATGGGAGCTCAAAGAAATTATATGAAGTGACAGAATTTCCAAATAGTCTTAATGTCCACTGTGATGTGAATATTTGTTCTAATTACATATTGATATATACATATACTTCTCTACTTTTATGCCCATTATGAGAATCAATGGTATCAATCATACCTATTCATAAACTAAATGCCAAAGGCTGCAGGAGTCAGTCCTTCTTTGCCATTGAGGTAACCAAAGCTCCCAAAGCAGTGTGAACACCATGCAGTAAAACAACCACTTGACAGCTTGACTGATACGTCCCAATGAGATCTTATTTAGATTTATCTAATGACACATTTTCCATCTGAAGGCTTGAAGAGACAGCGTTGGACATGTTATTATAATTACGTTCTTAACTGTTTTTCCATAAGCTACTGTTTCTATAAAAAAAAAAAAAAAGATGGTTGTTAAATTAAAATTAAATTAAATCAATTTGCATTTCTTAGAGAAAATACAGTGTAAATGCTGAAAGCTGTAGTTGGCATAGTTGCAGCTCATTACGGTTGCAGCTGCTGCAGCTGTCTTGCTGCTCCTGGAGCTTTGGCCCAGCTGTGGCAGCAGGCTGCCGGGTCTGCAGTGTGTTCACAGCTGCTGAAGCTTGGAGTGGGATGCAGAGTTAAGATGAACTGATAACTGGAGGCATGTTTGTGCCTGAAAGCATGGAAGAGAAGGAGCACGTCGAACCCTTCAGTATTGTTGGTAATTGGCCACATTTTGGTGTTATTGCAACACCTTTTGAACACATCTGACTCCAGGTCTGCTCTGTGCTAAGTTTGGTTTCTTTATACTTCACAGTACTTCAGATATCCGGGATTCTGAACAGTCCTCAACAAGTTGCTAAATGTTTTCACACCCAAGTCAAACTTGACATTTTAAAAGCAGAACAATGCTGTGACTTGTATTGTGTATACTTGTTGTTTTAGTTGGTATGGCGCCCCATAGCAGCCAAACTGCATCAACCTCAGCAGGCTTATGTGTAGCCTCAGTCTGCACACTTGGTTTTATTTACAAAATACTAACCACAAGGTGGAGCTATTGCTGCTGAGTATTTAAAGCCCTGCAGACAAGTCCACAAAGTATCTGTAGTTTTATATTTTTTAGTATTACAAATCATCATGGAAACAACATTACTACTACTACGACTAGTACTACTAATAATAATAATAAAACTGGACTAACACACACACACACACACACACACTACCCCTATTGTGTTGCTATTGTCCGTGTTGTGTTGTATTGTCCATGCTGAAATTGTACATGTTTGCACTACCTGTCCCCATATTTCTATTTTATTTTATTCTATTTTATTTGATTTTGTTTTATCTTTTTCTGCACTGCATTCTTTGCACTACATGTTTGTCCCATGTTTACATGGTCTCAGCCGTAACCCAGGGTCTCCTCATGTAGCTCTGCTGCATACGACTTGTTAAATGTTCACTGCTGTTGTTGTGTGTAGGACCTTAGCTCTGGATCTGGGAAACGCTGTCTCATTTCACTGTGTACTGTACAGCTGTATGTGGTTGAAATGACAATAAAGAACTTTTGAACGTGAACTTTTTAAAATAATAATAAAAATAAAAATAAAAATAAAAATAAAAATAATAAATACCAAGAACAACAATAATGCTATTTAAAAATTTCTAATAAATATTTGATTCTCAATTAAATTCATACTATCATGCAGAACAACAATAGAAGAGACTAAAACAACAACACTAATACTAATAAATAGTATATTAAACAGTAGTAATAATATATTAGTAGTAAAACAAAGACAACAATAGCATGACTGCTGGTTTCATCGGTTACTTTTAAGTTTAATTTGTGCACTTGTGTATTAGTGGTGATGGAAATGATACCACCAGACTGCTTATACATTCAACTGTGGCTGCTGAGCAAAGACTAGTGACTGAAGCCATCCTCTGTGTGTGTGTGTGTGTGTGTGTGTGTGTGTGTGTGTAGGAGGAGGAGCAGCAGTACTGTCACACGCCAGCAGGAGGAAATGATGTCAGTGAGATAAACAGGAGTCATTTCCTTCCACGGTGGAGCAGTGAGAGACTCCACCTCCAGCAGTGACGAGGTGATGAAATTGCCTGAAATGGCTGTATCGTAAGAGGCAGCAGTAACCTAGCAACAGAGGCGGGGGAAGCGTGTGTGTGTGTTCGCGTGCACCCTTCCTCCTTTGTTGTCCTTCCTTTGTTCAAACATTAAGGTAGCGAGAGAGGGAAGAATGAATGAAGGAGGAAGGTAAGATGGTTGATGTCGACATTGTCTCTCGCGTTTCCTTTCTTAAAAATAACAATCATTTTATCTACATTTACTGATGTTTAATTTCCTTTGGTA